TCTTGTTGTCAATCTTGTGAACCATTTCTTCAGTGAGAAGAATCTGTTCTTCAATGCCCTTATTCTGTTGAAATCCTGTCTGCTCAAAAGATATGATTTTAGGGAGAATCTTTTGGAGTCTATTGGCCAGGATCTTTGTGTTTATCTTGCTCATGAAAGTGGATAGAGAAATGGGTCTGTAATCACTGAAATTTTTTGGGTCCTCCTTTTTGGGGATCAAGGTTAAGAAAGTACTTCCATAACTTTTAGGGACAGGGATCCCTAAAAACAATTCTTGGGAGGCACTGATAATGTCTTCCTTGACAATGTCCCAGCAGGATTTAAAAAAGTTGCCATTGAAACCATCCGGACCAGGAGCACTATCAGGATTCAGATTCCAAACCACTTCCTTAATCTCCTCTCGAGTAGGTACTTTAGTCAACTCCAGGTTGTCAGCCTCTGTAACTCTTACTTCCAAGTACTCCTTGATAGGGTTAAGATTGATAATCTTCTTACTACAGAAAAGCTGGGAGAAATGATCAACTGCTAATTTTTGGATTTCCTCTGATTTGTTGATAGGATCCCCCTTATTATTATCAATGGTTCTGATTGTGGATTTAATTCTCCTGCCTTTAACAAATGAATGAAAAAACTTGGAATTACTTTCACCTCCTTCCATCCAGTTGATATTAGCCTTTTGCTTCCAGAGGTTGATCTCATTTTCAGTAGCCAAAATAAGTTCAGCTTTGGCTTTATTAGCCTCAGTCCTATTGGCATATGAGGGATCAAACTCAAACCTTTCTTGTGCTGAAGTTGCTTTGAGTTCTGCCTCTTTAATAGTATTCTCCACCCTACCAAAAACATCTTTGTTCCATTCTTTAAGTATAGCCTTGAGCCTTTTGAGTTTGTGAGCCAGCCCTGTCATACCCCCAAAACAGATTTGAGAATTCCAGGAGTCTTTGAGAGTCTGCATGAAGTTAGGGTGATTCATCCAAATATTAAGGAATCTGAATGGTTTGGGCCCATCATAATTATTCTTAATACATTGTAGTAGCACAGGTTTATGGTCTGAGGTGGTACTACTAAAGTGAGTCACAGTAATATCATCATAATTGTCCAACATGACTTCATTGACCACTGCCCTGTCAAGTCTTCTAAAGACTCTACCCGTGCTTCTTTTACCTGACCAGGTGAAAATATTACCAATTAAATGAGGATTGGTAAGCTTGCAGGTTTCTAGACATTCTGAGAGATCATCCATGTCAGATTGCAGGGGGGGTATCCTACCCTTATGCTCAGAAAGGTTAGCAATAGTGTTGAAATCCCCCCCAACAACCCACTCAGAGTTTGTAGTGTAATTTTCCAAATCTTTCCATAAGGTCTTCCTTTCTCTACTGGTGTGTTTCCCATACACAGAAATAATGGTAATGTTGTTGTGAGTTGAGAGGTTTTGGAAATGACAGCTTATAAACTGGTCCTTTTCCAAGAAAGAAAGGAGATTAAGAAACTCTGAGTTCCAGAAGACCCAGATTTTGTTGTTGCTAGAGAAGGCCCCCTGAGAAAAACCAAGTTTAATTCTGTAGGAATCATGTTGAGAGAGATCAACCATAGGTTCAGTGATGGCTAGAAAATTAATTCTGTACATATGTAAAAGAGATTTGATCCTTTTGAGAGAGGATCTAACTCCACAAACATTCCAAAAGAGCACAATCATTGAAGACTTTGGAGAGAAAAGTCTTTGTGCCCCTTGAGACTCCTAGTGAAAATTGTTCTGTGAGAATCATATTGTTTTTTCTTCTTTGCCTTTGGGATGGATAATGATGAGGAATCCTGTGATGGGGTTCTGAAGTTAACAGGCTCAATTGAGGAGGTATCCCTGATTTCCTCAAATTCACCATCATCTGAGTGAGTTCCATATTCTCCTAGGTCCAAATAGGAGGTAATAGATGGTCCCACCCCCTTACCAGGTGGGTTAAGACCCAAGTCAGGGTCAATATTGTGTAGGCAGTCATCCAAGGATCCTTTAAAGCTAATAATATTGAGTGGATTTACCTTTGATGAAAAATCAGAGAGAGATAAAGCTGTGGGAGAGAGGGGTATTTGTCTGGTTGTTTTTGCCACATATTCCTTTGCCTCTGAAAGAGTGGGAAAGTAGAAATCATTCTCTTTATAATGCATAGGTGTGGGGACTGACAGCTGTTGTGTTACCAGGTCCAACTGGCTAGAGGATGGTAGTGGGTCCATGGAGTTCTCCTGCATATCCAGTAAATCAAGGATGTGTGGAGTAAAGTAGTTTGTTATTTTATCCTTGGCCTTCCAGTGGTAAGTGGGTCGTGACTTCTCTTTTGTGGTGGCAGTCTGAGCATCATTATTAGATTTGTGCGTCCTTTTCTTTTTGATTTCTATCCAGGACTGAAAATGCTCTGACTGAAGAACCTCTTTTCCCTTGCCGGAGGAGGTCTTTCCGGTGACTTTCTGATTATGGTTGGGGCATGAGACACCCTCTTTGTGACCAAGTTTTTTACAATTATTACAGAATGGAGGGATTCTATCATAGATACAATTGACAAAGAGGTTTTTTCCACCTGCTCTTATATGAATTAAGGGGGGAGGGGGATGTGAGATATCCATCTCAATACAAATTCTGGCTTGCTCCCTCCTATCTCTATTAATGGTGTGATCATCCACCTTAATAGGTTTTCCCAGCAGAGATGAGATGGTGAAAAGGGCTTGGAAGTCAATGAAATGTAGAGGCAGATTGTCTAAGGTAACCCAGATAGGGAGAATAGGATTGTCCTCCCTTCCACTATAATTAGGTGTCCATTTAAACACGTAGAAATGAGTTTTATTGACATACCAGTTGCCTCTTTGAATGAATCTGACATAATCTTTTTCTCCTTAAAAGGTGAACAATATGTCTGCTGAAGATATTCTTCTGATCCTAAAGTTATGGAAGCCAGCTTTCAATAGGAACTCCTTGAGGGCTGGTAGATGAATGTAGCTATTGAATCTGCCCACAGCAGCGTGATGAAGCTTTTTCTCCAACATATCCTCTTCTTCTTTTGTAAAACTGACTGATGGTGTGCCGTTGTAGAAACCTGATTTAGTACCCACTGCTGCAGTATTTGTAGCTTTGAATAAATCACGGAAGTGTTTGATGAATGGTTTGTATTGTGTATTAAGATTAGGACCTGCCTGAGGATTTTCCGGCACCGTCGCCGGAAATCTCTCTCTTCTCTCTAGAACCATTTTTTTTCGATCATATATATATATATATATATATATGTATGTATATATATATGTATATGTATATATGTGTGTGTGTGTGTGTATATATATATATGTGTGTATATATATATATATGTATGTATGTATGTATGTATGTATATATTATATATATATGTGTGTGTGTGTGTGAGTGTGTGTGTATGTATGTGTGTGTGTGTGTATATATATATATATATATATATATGTCTGTATGTATGTATGTATGTATGTATATTATTCTTTCGGCCCTAAAAAATGATGTCAATCAAATCCACGACTCTCGCATCCCTCTACTCCAGGAAGGTAATAAAAAAAATTTGTGTATTGAAATTGACTGTATTAAATTTTATAGATGTCAACTGTTAATTCGGAACTGATATCAAGTGTTAATTGAAGTCGCACTTTCGTACTTGGTAAAAGACGAAAGAAGAAACGAAATGTCTATGACTTGTTGATACGTTACCAACGTGCACATCGCTTCGCGAGAATAATGAAACGAAGGATTTATGTAACACCCCAATCCGTATAACCCGGAATTACACGAATTAAGGTGAAACGAGGGTTAAATAAAAATTTCACTTGACATTTTAAAATGACAATTACTTATAAATATTAAATTTACAGACTCTGGATCGCGACCCAATTGAAATATTTTCGGAGTAACGCGGAAGTACAATAATAATAAAATGATGACACATTTAAAATCTGATGATCAAACATTTGCCTGCCATCCTTGCATCTCTTTTGACTCAATGCCCTTCGGGAGTGGTTCCGTCATTGTCTTCTTGTTACCTACGTGTAGTCAACGAAAAATACAAACTACACGCTCAGCGAAACTACTGAGTGGTACCACGCTAGAATTGTAGAATAATTCACAGACATATACATATATATGCGTCCACAAGGTGTATAATAATATTCATGATATGGCACATTATATCATATGTTCAATTTGATGATTTATGATGATGGATATTTAATGATGATTACCTGATGGCATATTTAATCAATATAATTATTCTTGATGATGATTACATGACACCTATGTAATCAATATAATTGTTCTTGAAGATGATTACATGACACCTATGTAATCAATGTACTTGATGATGATAACATGATTTCACATTTAATCAATTTGATTGTTCTTGATGATGATTACATGACACCTATGTAATCAATGTACTTGATGATGATAACATGATGCATAAACCTAAACGTGCAAGGACGAGCCTTGCGCTATGAGATTCGCCCAGGTTGTACGACGAACTCACGCCACCTTAGTCTCACGAATGAGGTGAGACTAGAAAAATGGGGGTGGTACTCGAAAGCCTGAATACCATGTACGTACACTAAGCCCGAACGTGTGATGTCGGACTGCTAAGTCCCGCACAATCACGCTATAAGAGACGCACGAGGCATGATCTCTTACGCATGCATATGATGTGATATGCTTCAATATGGATGGTGAAATGAATCATAATTCTCATTCACAGGAAGAATTACTTTCTACAAACAAGTCCCGTCAACCACTCACAAACGCATAGATCACTGAGACAAACAAAGTGCTGGAACACTTCCTCTGTCACAAATATCACACACAGAAAGACAAATAAAGAAAGTAAAAGCAGACACAAGAATTGTTTATGCAGTTCGGAGCAATTCTCCTACTCTACGGGGCCCACGTCCGTGTAATAGCCCGTCCACTAAATCACTACGAAGATTACAACTTCAACCACCATAGGTACCAATTAGTGGATTGAACTAATCTACCACAGATGACTTAAACACATAACTCTGTTTGTGTTTCTCCCAATGGCATATTACACCAACCTTGATAACTTCTGTTATTGGACGTGCTGACAGCCCTTTCTCCAGCCCTTCCTAGTTCACCAGCTGGAAGTGGTTTTCATCAAAACCAAACATAGACCTGCTCTATGATCTGTGAACAGGCCACGAACTTCTTGTGCTCACAACAGCACAGTGCATCAGAAGGACCCAAGCATGGTTCCCTTCTGATCTCTTCTTGCAACTAGGGTTTTTGACTCTCACGATCTGTTTCTGGAATTTGTATCTCCTCTCTCTCTCACACCCTCATCAACGTAAGGTCATGTATATATATGTATGGACATATGAGAACCCTAGTCATAATCGTACTTGAATTCCACAGCAAATCACAATCCTAGACTGCATGGAACTCTATGGCAGCTTTGTAGGAATCCTTCTCCAGAAGGTCTTCTCCAGCTCGTAGAGGAAAAACACATGCATGACATGGCAGGACTCTACACCCAATCAGCTAGAAAAATACGTACAAACATTTCTACGAATTTGTTTTTTTCACAAGGATAATGCCAACAAAAAAATAAACAAATTAATCAATAGCTCTCCTCCTTAGTAACTAACCGAGATAACTAACAATCTCCCCCTTTGGCCATCCTTTTGGACAAAAACAAATACACTTGACTCGTTGGCCTGTTGAACCTCTTCTCCCCCTTTTTTGTTCAAAAATGAGCCAAAGTCTATTAAAAAATACGAGAATAGAGAAGAGTAACATTCAACACTTGAGCAAGAGAGGTACAAAAACCACGAGAAGATCTATTATCTAAGCTGAGGGATGTACCTACACCATGTCACAGAGATGCATAAGAATAGCGGAATGAAACTGTTGATAACCAAATGCAAGCACAAATGTAGATAAATCAGGTTTGAACCATCCAAGAGAAAAACTAGCCATAGCAAAAACATCAGTGCAATATGTCTTGAAACCAGAAAGAGGGCAGAACAACCCAACCAAAATAATGTCATCTTGAAAATGTAAAGGGTTTATAGGGAGACTCCCACTCAAGCTGAGGAACCTGTAGTATTATCTTCCTCCTCCTCTGTACTCTCCCCCTGAAATGATGCACCTGCTGCTTGAGGACTTTGTGCAACATGTTCATGCAGCCAGAAGAGGCTCTGGTGCTCTTCCTCAAGGGCTCTCCTCTGTTGATCCACCAGGCGAAGTGCTTCCTTATTTTGTTGCAGCTTGTGTTCCAGATACTTGAGCACGCCTTGCATAGCATGAGTTGCTTGTTCAGCTGTCACCATATCATTGAAGTGCTTCCCCTCAAAATGGCGATTGTCTATCTGCAGCAGTGGTTCCAGTGACTCTTCTTGTTCAGCATCCTTTTTAGTAAAGCCCTGTGAGACAAGCATCTGAAATATTAGCACAGGAAAGGGCAGACCATTATCATTTTGCTTATAGTTGTGCTTCCCAAATTCAGCAATTTGAGCAACTATTAGCTTTCCAAGATTGACAGGAACATTGTTTTTGATCTTATATAGTAACATCCCCATGGCTTTTGTCACTGTGTTGGTGTGGGAGGTGGCTAGCCAGTGACATGCAGCAACTCTGAGCAATATGGAGTAGGAGCTATTCAGGATTGATGAGGGAACTTTGTTGGAGGGGTGTTGGCTTTTCCTGGTTCCGTGAGTGAGTTCCTTCCACATGGTGACCTCACTTACCAATGCATCCTGATCATCATCTAATCCTAGAAACTTGTTAACAGCAGTGGACGAAAAAGTGTATAGTTTCCCTCTGACAAAAACTTTTTCAAAAGACACAGCAGCGGGATTCACAAAATCTTCACCCAAATTGCAATAAAACTCATGGATGACTTGTTTGACATAGGAACCAGGGAGAGTTACAGATTTCAACAAATTCCTAGCTTCTAACAGAGGAATGAGTGTGGTTTTCAAAGCAAAGTCTCCCAAGTCAATATTTCGCTGAGGCAAAATGTTCTTCCTCATAATTACAGGTAAATAGGATTTAGCAGCAGTAGTGACAAAAATAGAGGTTGAGGACTTCCCTGAGTGATGATTCGGATCTTTACCCTTTTTAGACTTTGAGGAAGTAGGTGGACTTGTGGTGCTGGCCTTGCACTTCTTGGTTGATGGGGGAGATTCTTCATCCATAACTGCTTCAGATCTGGTTTTCCTTTTTGACCAACGAACGGGATTTTGCCCTTTTGCCTTCTTTTTTGAGCTATGAGGGGTGCAGTCTTCTTGAATGGTACTTCAGAGACTGCTACCAGTGGTTCTTCATCTAGTAAGGTTTGGAATTCTTCATCTACTTCTACATTTTGGTGTTGTTCTTCGAGGGGTATTGGTGATTTGTATTCTAGCAACATGATAGTGGGGAGATCTGGGTGGAGTGGTGATTCATCTTGCTCTTCGTTTAACAGTTCTCCATCTTCTGGTGCCCTTTGAGCTTCTTCATGCTCCATGGCAGTCTCAATTTCTGGATTTAGGTTCACGGAAGCTGAACTTTCATTTTCTTGTGAGATTCTTGCCCGTAGATTTGCCTTAGCTTGAGCAAACTTTTGAATGAGACTTGCTTTTTTCTTTGTTGCACGGCGATTGACAGTTGTAGTTTTTCGGGTAGTAAACCTTCCCAGTAAAGGGTTAGTTTTCTCTCCGAGTGTCGTGTCTCTCGAGGAGTGGACGAAGGGGATTAGTTTAATTACTCTAATTAGGCGAAGATTAGGACTGGTTTATGAAAGTCTTCTCGGAACGATTATAAAAAAGGGGAGCAGAGTAAAAATAATAAATCAAGTTTACATAGTATAAGTATAGATCTGGACCTAGGGTCAAGACATCATCTGGATCTATTTTATCATATTAAGTTAACAATTGGAACAATAATATTTCTATTACTACTCATCCATTTCTAGATTTGTACTTAATCCGTACACTTGAATATCATAGCCTTTTGGCATACAATATTTTCTCAATAAATAGCTAATTAAATCCTTCGAGTTTAATTAACTAAATAAGGCAAGAACAATAGATTAACCATTCCAACATTAATTTATCATTAAAAAAATAAACAACCAAACTAGTCCGGACCTAGAGATCCGGACCCTAACTCATACTATGCAAACATAAATTAAAATAGCATTTTATTAAATAAAGAAAACTTACAACTTCCATAAAAGCGGAACAGAACAGATCGGGAGTAGAATTCCTCAAAAAATTACTCTAAAACTACTATAATAATAAACTAGTGTTTGGAATTGTAATAATAAGCTCAAATCCCGAGAGAGGGGATGAAAGTGATGTGTTGAATGGGGAGAATCGCGCTGTATTTATAGGACAGAGGCCGAGCCGTCCAAGTCAAAGCGTCCGGATCCAAAGCGTCCAAGGTTGGACGCCTTACGCGGCCCGTCCATTCGCTGCTTGCCACGTGTCTTCCTTGATCTGCAATCCAGCCAAGGCGTCCAACTCCAAGCGTCCAACTTGGCCAAGCGTCCATTTTGGACGCCTTGAGGCCTTGGTCTGTTGGGCTTCGCGGCTGTTACGAGATCTTGGCCCAATTTCACTGATTTTCGGCCCGAACGTCGATTTTATCTTCTTGGAAGCTCGTTCAAGCCCGAAACTTGATCCTTTGATGATTTATTCCCTTTTTCTCAAGCATTTGAACATAAAATGGATAATTTATGATGATTTTATGTGGAATACCTATTTATGACTCTTAGAACGAAAATGAGAGTTTCATCCATCAAAATCACATTTTATGAGATGATTAAATATCATTTACGTGCAATAACATTTAGACTATGATGTAAATGATAAGAACGAAACGGACTTATCAAATTCCTCACACTTAAACGTTGCTTGCCCTCAAGCAACAAATTGAATAGTTACAAGTATGAAGGCAAATTAATAATTGCAGAGGCAAGGTTTAAGCTACATATTATGAAGGAAAGAAGAAATAAGATAGCCATCAACCTTTTTGTTAAGAATGAATGAACATTTAGATTCTCACCCATATTGTTAGAAATGTAAAAGAATTTTGTCAAATCAATATTTTTACACCAACCTAAACAACCATAATTTTCCAAACTTTCTTTGGGATAACTACATTTGTAAGAGTACTTTAAAGATCAAATAATTTTTTTTAATGGCTAAATCGGAAAACATGCTCTTGCAAAAGTATTTGTCAAAGTGTAAGGGTTTAATTTTTCTTTGGCATAACTTTGTCATGTTGACACGAGAAAAATTTATAACCTCATCCCGTGACATAGAACCACGAGCTTTTTGGATATTCACTCTGGAAAGTCTCATCACACGACATAGAACCGCATGCTTTTTGACTCTAACACTCAAAAGGCCTCATCACGCAATATAGAACCACGTGCTTTTCGGCATACTCACCACGCCTCATCAGTTGACCTAGAACCAACTGCTTTTTAACTAAAACAAGAATCTCGGTCTCATCAAAGTATACTTTGAAACATTACCCCTTATACCTTGAAAATAACTCTTTTCAAGAAACAACAGATACTCCTAAAAGCACGAGCAAAAAGATTTTCAATAAAGCACTTAAAATTGATTGATCTTAAAAACTCTTAGACAATTGTGAATTTGTCCCAAATCATTTTAGAAAACATTCCCAAAAGGTTAGAGTAAAAATAGAAGTTTGACAAAAATTTTAAAAATTTCCAATTTCCACGGGTGATAACTAAAGAGTAATTAATCAAACAATTAAAATTGATGACCATTCTATAAAAATCTTTTCCTAAAAATATATAGACGAAACAATTCCTAAAAAGATCATTTCAACCAGGAACTCTTACCTCCTCACACTTAAACGGAACCACGCCCTCGTGGCTAAAAGTATTTTGGAATTGGAGTTAATGGTTGAAATGCTCACATGCAATTACTAAGTTATCTAAATACTTACAAGATTCAATGATGAAGATTGAAACAATAGATAATCATAACATGAAAATATGAAATAATGCATAAAATATTCTCAAAAGGGTCTTAAGAGTCATGAAAAGAAGAATTCTAACGTAAGATCATATAAATATCCAAAATTAATGTTCTGAATGTAGTAATAGGAAAATTAAGGATCTCACTATCCTTGACGTTTGCTTTGTTTAGGACCTGCCCCATGCTCGGCTTTCTTTGTTCCCTGTTCCCGGACGTAGTCAAGTATTTCCTCCACTTGCCACTGCTGCGTGAGAAGGAGCGTCTCTATGCTCCTTAAGCGAGAGTCTACAGAGTCTTGAAATGCAAACATAGCTTGCGAAAGCTCGCGAAGGGTCATAGGAATCGTATGCTGCCTTCTAGGACGTGCCTCCTTGTCTTCCTTATTATAAACAATCTGGGCCAAATATTGTGTCGGTGGTCGGAACATGCTTGCAGCTTCTGGAAGAACATTGGGAACGGACATATATAATCCTCTGGCCAGAAGCGTTTGGCCCACACAAGACAAACTGGTGGTTGCAAGTTGATTGAGCAAATAGGAATCGAGCCACAAAAGTCGCTAGATTGACTGGAACGCGAGCTTCCAGACTCTAGAAAAATAGCATATCGGAATTAAACACAATGTCAGGTTCTTGAGAGCGGCCGAAATAACTAAGAGCCAATGCATGGTGCAAAATCCTCCAAGACGGTCGTGCCCAATTCCTAGCTAAGCTTGCTCCACTGTGAAATCGACCTTGCCCATGAGCTTGCCAGAACTTTCTAGCATCGAATTCTGGATCCAACTGGTCGGGCAGATTAGCGAAGGCCAGGCTCCGCGTTTCATCAAGCGTGTAAAGACCAATCAGCCACCCTAAGTCTGCCACAGTAAGCTTCAACAGTCGTCCCATCAGAGTGAACGTGACCTTGGTGGTGGAGGTGACTTCAACTGCTCACTTTACTTCCTCTCCGTCATTGAGGAAGCGGAGAGAGCAAAGAAACTCAATGGTGACTTCCAGGCTGGCTGGTGCATGCAGGAATAGCAGGATCCTCCATTTTGGGTCGTACAGCAATTCATCAATGTCCTGCTAGTGCCCCAGTTCATCCAGATAGGCAGGGTCCAGCACCATGGGAGGCTGGAGCATCTTCGTGTTTCCCCAAGTGAGAAACTTCTTCTTTGCTTCTTCTGAGTGCAAGGGGAGCTCTTCCAGATTCTGTAATGTGTGGCAGTTTCCATGCGGGATCATCCAAGCAACATCCATCTGTTTGAAATAGAAAAGTAAAACAAGTAAAATCTTGCCCCCAAATGGTGCGGCAAGTAAATAACAAGTAAGCATATTTAATAATTTAATTATCTGAATGACGGGTTGCCTCCCGTTAAGAGCTTCTTTAACGTCCGTAGCTCGACGCTCACCCACTTTTTCCGCGACTTCCCGATCCGAGAGTCATAAAGTTTGGCCCTTCTGACTCTCTTCTGGTGCCACCTTGTTTGATTTGTTACTCGGTCAAGGTCCAGGATCCTTGACTCGTCCCTGCGGCTTGGCGGCAACAGGATAAAAGGAGGAGACTCTAGATAGGTGGGTGGTGGCGGAAGTCTCCTCAGTTGATCCTCATTATTAGCCTTGATTGCGAAATTGATTTCTTCCTTATCTTCGACAGGCTGACTATCTGTTTGTGGTTTGATGATTATGACCGTGCCTTCCCCTATGGATGAGTCTTCAGTGTCACTCATTAGAAGTTCATCCCAACTCCTTAAGCTCCAACCATCCTTCGGGCAGATATCGTCACACCCGTCAAATAGGGAGTCAAAGAAGGTTTGGTCTGAGTCTTCAGATGAAGCATTACGTACACAGGTTTCTATAGACGGAGTTGGCTTTTCTATGCAAAGTATTTCCTCGCCTGTAGATTCCTGCTCGGACTCTTGGACATTGATATCTTGGGGGCAGGTAATGGGCTCTATTTCCTCCCGAACAGATTCCTCTCGAGGTGTGTCTTCAACACAATGAAGGAGATGGTCGCTTATTGCCATAGGCAAAACATCCTCCTCCTTCTTTTCTTGAATAAGCCTAGGTGGTTCTGAGTCAGGTCCCTTAGTTGGTTCCACCTCATGTACGACTATGCTGGTTGGGACTTGGCTAGGACTGGGTGAATCTTCTAGAACTGGAACCTGTTGATTGAATGGTTCAGGGTTGGTCTTAGGTTCTAGAGCCTCTTTCTGAGCATCAATCTCCCTCATTTGATTTTGAGATTGGAGGGAGCGTTTAAGCTCAATAGCCTTACAGAGATCGTTGACTAATTCATCAGCTTTAGCCTCGGCTTCAAGTCTCTCTCTTTGGAAGTCGTTCAACATTTTCTTCATCCTTTCTGATTCTTCGCATAATCTCCTTTCAAACTCCCTTTCCTTCCGGACTGATTCAAGAAGTTTTTCTCTTTTTTCAATTGCCACCTTGTTTGCCTCAATTTGTTCTTCAGCAAGCAGGGTGTAGTCACGGCAGTAGGGTGGTTCGTACCAGGAGCCTTCAGCGAATAAGACTTCGTCGAAATAGAAAATTTTTTGTTCTAATCTTATGATCTCTTCGACAAGTGGATCAGATTGATCGTCGCACATAGGCCCAAATTGGTCATAGTCATCTTGGTCACCATGAGGTTCATAATAATTATCCCCATCAGAATCTTGGTATGGAGAATATCCAACGTTTCTAGATGGGGTATCATATGGTGGTTCCTCATGGTAAGGATAGTAGTCAGACCCATTGTCGACTTGGTAGTCATCATCATATGGGTTCTGATGTGGGTAGTAAGGTGGATGGTACGGAGGGCGGTTGGGTGATTGGTAGTAAGAAGGCGGACCGTAATAACCACTAGAGTTATCCATAATAATTATTATGGGTGGTTGGTGAAAAAGAAGTGAGAAGATCGTTCTAACCAATCTTCACCCAAGCTAATTAGAAGAAATTAAACTAATGCCGTGTCACTCCCCGACAACGGCGCCATTTGAAAGTTGTAGTTTTTTGGGTAGTAAACCTTCCCAGTAAAGGGTTAGTTTTCTCTCCGAGTGTCGTGTCTCTCGAGGAGTGGACGAAGGGGATTAGTTTAATTACTCTAATTAGGCGAAGATTAGGACTGGTTTATGAAAATCTTCTCGGAACGATTATAAAAAAGGGGAGCAGAGTAAAAATAATAAATCAAGTTTACATAGTATAAGTATAGATCTGGACCTAGGGTCAAGACATCATCTGGATCTATTTTATCATATTAAGTTAACAATTGGAACAATAATATTTCTATTACTACTCATTCATTTCTAGATTTGTACTTAATCCGTACACTTGAATATCATAGCCTTTTGGCATACAATATTTTCTCAATAAATAGCTAGTTAAATCCTTCGAGTTTAATTAACTAAATAAGGCAAGAACAATAGATTAACCATTCCAACATTAATTTATCATTAAAAAAATAAACAACCAAACTAGTCCGGACCCAGAGATCCGGACCCTAACTCATACTATGCAAACATAAATTAAAATAACATTTTATTAAATAAAGAAAACTTACAACTTCCATAAAAGCGGAACAGAACAGATCGGGAGTAGAATTCCTCAAAAAATTACTCTAAAACTACTATAATAATAAACTAGTGTTTGGAATTGTAATAATAAGCTCAAATCCCGAGAGAGGGGATGAAAGTGATGTGTTGAATGGGGAGAATCGCGCTGTATTTATAGGATAGAGTCCGAGGCGTCCAAGTCAAAGCGTCCGGATCCAAAGCGTCCAAGGTTGGACGCCTTACGCGGCCCGTCCATTCACTGCTTGCCACGTGTCTTCCTTGATATGCAATCCAGCCAAGGCATCCAACTCCAAGCATCCAACTTGGCCAAGCGTCCAAGTTGGACGCCTTGAGGCCTTGGTCCGTTGGGCTTCGCGGCTGTTACGAGATCTTGGCCCAATTTCACGGATTTTCGGCCCGAACGTCGATTTTATCTTCTTAGAAGCTCGTTCAAGCCCGAAACTTGATCCTTTGATGATTTATTCCCTTTTTCTCAAGCATTTGAATATAAAATGGATAATTTATGATGATTTTATGTGGAATCCCTATTTATGACTCTTAGAACGAAAATGAGAGTTTTATCCATCAAAATCACATTTTATGAGATGATTAAATATCATTTACGTGCAATAACATTTAGACTATGATGTAAATGATAAGAACGAAACGGACTTATCAACGATCTTGATGCGCACCATCTCTTGATTTTCTTTTGAGAGATTTCTGGTATTTTCTAGGATTAGGTTTGAGATTGTAGTGAGGATGACGAAGAAGGAGAGGCTATTGGGTTTTGTGAAGCCTTTTGAAATTCAATTTTTGGGTCTCTTCGTTTTTGGTGACACAACGCCGTATACAGATAGGCGTGCTGCATGCATTTTATTTGTTCTTTTAATAGCTCCACGTGTCTTCTTCTGACTAATAAATGTGTCACCCTTTTTCAAGTCACATCATCAGTAGGGAGCACATAGACCCAACTTTGATCTAAGTGTTTCAAACCTGTCACCATCAAGTGCCTTGGTAAATATATCAGCGAGTTGCTCTTCTCTGGACACGTGTTCCAAACTCACAATATTTTTCTCAACAAGTTCCCGTATAAAGTGATGCTTGATGTCAATGTGTTTGGTTCGGGAGTGCAGTACTGGATTCTTTGATATACTGATGGCACTTGTATTGTCACAGTACAGAGGAATGGTGTCATGTTCCACACCGTAGTCACTGAGTATGGTTTTCATCCATAATAGTTGTGCACAGCAACTGCCTGCCGCTATGTATTCAGCTTCTGCCGTGGAAAGTGACACATAATTCTGTTTCTTGCTCAACCATGCTATAAGATTTCCCCCCAGAAAAAAGCAACCTCCTGATGTGCTTTTTCTATCATCTATATTACCTACCCAGTCTGCATCACTATAGGCTATAAGTTCTACCATACCTCCTTTTGAATACCATAATCCCATGTTTTGAGTGCCTTTGACATATTTCAGTATTCTTTTGACGGCTTTGAGACGTGACTCTTTGGGATTGGCCTGGTATCTAGCACACACTCCAACAGCATAGGTCTGGTCTACTTACTGTTAAATATAGTAGACTCCCTATGATGCCTCTGTAGCGTGTAGCATCAATCTCCTTCCCGTTGTCGTCCCTGCTGATTTTCTCATGTGTTGGACATGGTGTTCTAGCACTCTTACTGTCACTCATCTCAAACTTCTTTAACATGTTCTGTGCATATTTGGTCTGAGATATAAATATTCCTTCATCTGTTTATTTTATCTGTAACCCTAGGAAAAGAGTTAATTCACCAATCATGCTCATCTCAAACTCTTTCTCCATTACTTTGACAAATTCATCGGCCTTTGTTTTGGAGGTGGATCCAAACACAATGTCATCCACATATATTTGTGTAACCAGTAAGTCAGATTTGTACCATATATAGAACATGGTGTTATCTGCTCCCCCTCTTTTATATCCTTCCTTGATTAGGTAGGAAGTCAGGCGTTCGTACCATGCTCTAGGTGCTTGCTTAAGCCCATACAGTGCCTTGTGTAGCTTGTATACATAGTCAAGATGCTTGGAATCTTCGAATCCTTTTGGTTGTGCCACGTACACTTCTTCCTTCAGATATCCATTTAGGAATGCAGTCTTGACATCCATTTGGTACAGTTTCATGTCTAATATGCACGCCATGCTAATGAGCATGCGTACTGACTCAAGCCGAGCTACTGGAGCAAAGGTTTCCTCAAAGTCAATTCCTTCCATTTGTTTGTATCCTTGAGCAACTAGCCGAGCCTTGTTTCTGATGACATTACCTGCTTCATCTGTTTTGTTTCGGTATATCCACTTGGTTCCAATGACATTTGTGTTCTCTGGTTTTAGAACCAGTTCCCATACCTTATTCCTTTCAAATTGCTCTAGCTCCTCATGCATGGCGTTTATCCATGCTTCTTCTGTCAGTGCTTCTTTGATGTTTTTAAGCTCCAGGGATGATGTATAGTATGCTTTTGTCATCTCTAGGAAGTCAATCTTCTTCTTCCGTGTCTTCATTCCTTCAGTGGGTGGCCCTATGATGTTTTCTGGAGGGTGGTTTTTCTGGATGTGTGTGGGAACACCACTTGTTATGGGACACTCAGTCTGAGTATCTGCAGAATCATCTTTCTCAACTTCTTCATCCCCAGTGTCTTCTTCAGGTATTTTTCCAAGGTTATTCACCTCTAGTGAGTCATCTGCTGCCTTGGGCTGGAGCTAGTCATCTACCACAACATTTATTGACTCCATTATAGTTCTTGTTCGTTTGTTGTATACTCGATAAGCCTTGCTATTTCGTGAGTATCCAACAAAAATAGCCTCGTCGCTCTTTGGCTCAAACTTTCCTTTCTGCTCTCTGTCTCTTAGGATGTAGCATCTTGCTCCGAAAATGTGGAAGTGAGAAACACTTGGTGTCCTCCCTTTCCACAATTCATAGGGTGTAGCCATTGTTCCACTTCTAAAGTACACACGGTTGATTGTGTAACATGCTGTATGAACTGCTTCAGCCCATAAGTTTTGTGGAAGTCCATATGAGCTGATCATTGTGCGTGCCATTTCTTGAACATGTCGATTTTTTCTTTCTGCCACCCCGTTCTGCTGTGGAGTTTTTGGTGTTGAGAATTCATGCCAGATGCCATGCAGATCACAAAATTATTCGAAAGGTCCATTGTCAAACTCCCCTCCATGGTCACTGCGTACTCTGATGACCTTTTTAATCTTTAGTTGTTTCTCATTCTGGACTTTGTTGCATAGTGCTTCAAAGGCATTTAGTGCATCATCTTTGTGTTTTAAGAAACTGACCCAAGTATACCTTGTAAAGTCATCTACGATCATGAGGACAAACCTTTTTCCACCCAGGCTTTCAGTTTGCATGGGGCCGAATAGATCAATGTGCATGAGCTCCAAAGGACGACATGTTGACCTCGTAGGTTTCTTAGGATGACTTGTTCGTGTTTGTTTCCCCATTTGGCATGGTCCACATACTTGCTCATTAAATTGAGTGATCTTAGGCATTCCTCGAACTGCTCCAGAACCAGACAAGGTCTTAAGGTCCTTGTAGTTCATATGCCCGAGTCTATAGTGCCACAATTTTGCATCCCTCTCACTGGCTGTGTAACAAAGTATATTTGGAGTGACTCTGTAACAGTTTTCTGTGGTTCTGTCACCTTCCAAGACAACAAATTTGTTTTTGTCCTTTATACGGCACTTTTGTTGAGTGAATACCACTTCAAGTCCTTGGTCACAGATTTGACTAATGCTTAGCAGATTTACCTCTAGTCCTTGGACCAACCATACATTTTTGATTGGTGGTAGCCCTGAGACATGCAGTGTTCCATTCCCAATGATCTGTTCATGTGCACCGCCACCAAAACGTACATTTCCTCCTTCTATGGGTTGAATGTTTGATAAGTTCTGTTTATCTCCAATCATGTGATGAGAACACCAACTATCAAGCAGCCATTGGTCTGGTGTGACTCTAAGGCAAGAGTTGGCGCTTGAGGCCATGTGTTTTGGTACCCACTTCATCACGGTTCTGGCGAACCCTTTTGCCGTACCCTCCTCCTCTTTTTGTACTTCAGCTGGTGGCACTATCTTTTAATATGTCCCTTTTTCCTACAGTAGAAACAAATATAATTCCAGTAATAGTTAGAGAGAGAGCGTTTCCTTACATGAATGTGAGTAGGCTGGACTTCTTCCTTCTTGTCTCTGCTATATTCTACCAGTTCTTCATCAGAGACCTTTGATCTTGTTACAAACAGATCAAGCGGAGTCTTACTGCTTTCTGGTAGTGTGTGCCCAATGCCGGTTCTGTCTCCATGAAACCTTGACTTGTCTACAAGGTTTTCAATTTGTTATGCACCTGCGCTTTTCATCCACTTTTGGTAGCTCTTCAGTTGAGTGAGCTCATAGTTTAGATTTGCCTTTTCCCCTTCAACCTGTTCCAGTTGCTGCATAGTTTCATCAAGTTTTCTACGAAGGCTGTCCAACTCTTTCTGAAGCACCACAAGTTGATTAGTGAGACTATCTGGATCTTCATTGTGAACTTGTGTGGTGAATGCACAGTTGCTGTTCCCCAAGACTTCTTCAGTATCATCTTCTTCATCGCTCCAGGTTGATACAAAGGCTTGTCGTTTCTTTTTGAGATTATTTGCGCACTCTGATTGAATATGTCCAAAACCCCCACATTCAAAGCATTGAGGTCCTCTCCGTTTGGAGTCATCAGTTGGTGCCCTGCTCTCCTTTGGCCTTGGATTTCTAAATTGAAACCCTTTTGAGGATTCAGCCTGATAATTTGTTCTTCTTTTTTTCTGCATCCATTGCTTCTTGAACTGCTTGGTGATGAGGGGCAACTTCTCTTGATAATCTCCATCTGATGGATCTTCATCATCTTCTTCTTCTTCAGTAGTGTGGCTGTGGAATGCAATCTGTTTGAAACTCTTCTTCTGTTTGATTTCTTCGTTCATTTGGAGCTCAATGGTTTCGAGATTTCCCATCAGCTGATCAAGTGTCATGTTCTTTATGTCATGTGCTTGGCGAATTGCTTTGGCATCCATTGCATAGCTCTCGGGTAAAGCCCTCAGTACCTTCAATACTAGACAATCTTCCGTGAAGGGCCTTTTCAGATTTTCAGCCTCATTTGCCAGTTCTCTTACTCTCCCATGAAATTCAACTTGTTGGGAAAAATATCATAGATTTTGATGATGATGTATTTTAGAATGTAATAGGGACTTTAGGTCTCCCGAGATATTCAATGTAATTTTTCCTTTTAGAAATATTGTTAGAACCGAGTTCTTGAGATTTCCAATAAAGTTGTGATATTTCTTTAAGCGGTTTGATGCCTGAAGACTTAATCAAATTCAGAAATTTGGAAATTGGATATCTTGATCGGAAATGTCAGAGACAAGTAAGGATCTCTCAAAGGAGACGAAAATCCTCCTATCCGGAATACTACATGAGAACCGGATGTCTCGCTGAAGGCTAAGTCGGAAGACTAGCACGGATTTCTTTCTCACTTGGAAGACTGAGTATGACTCTTCCGGATTTGTCAGCTAAGAACCGAATGCCTCAAGGAAGACCGAAATTCTCAAAAAGCGGACAAGTGAGATAAGACATAGAAAATTATCTAAGTCTTGAATGAAGAAATTCTACCCGTTGGTAAGGAAAAATCAATCTCTTGATTTTCAACGGCTAGATTAGAGATAATTATGCTGATTCAAGAACAAATGACTCGAAGACAAAGTCTGGACCTCTAAAAATTGAAGAACCTGTCCAGAATTCCTAAACAAGCACTAGAAGACAAAGAGAGTAAAGTGCTACAGTTCAGAATTCTTGAACAGCAACTAGAAGACGGATTCTATGGAAAAAGGAATCCCTCCTTTAACAATTGGGTATGTCCAAACACCCACTCCAATGAGAAATCTTAAAATCACAATCTTCATTCAAAATTGAAGCCAGCAAATGCAACGGATAGTCTATTTTAATTCAACGGATAGATTATCCAATCCAGCTATAGATATCATCCTTGGAAGACTGGGAAGGAGAGAACAACGACAACAATAAGAAAAACAACCACAAAGAGGCTACCTCACTCATAGTTAGCCCAAAAAGCTTGATAGAGAGAGATTTCTAAACTCCTTATCCAGAAGCAAACTTCTCCTCCTTCCAAAGAGCTATAGTGTAAATACATGAAGGTTTTCTTGCCTCAAGTACCACACCACGTTGAAGGATACAACTTTTGATCAAACTTATTGATTGAAAGGGGGTAGGTCAACTTTCTTACAAGTTGGTCTTGCAAGTCCTATTGTTCGGATCTTGCAGTTGTTGAAGAAGCGTAACCTTCGAAGGAACAACAAAGCCAGCACGAGTGCAGTAGCAACATTGGCCTTGCGAAGATATACCGTGCAGAAATTCACACAAGTGTAATTGTTGGTTCATTATTCA